AGGTCAATAAAGAGAATTAAAGACTGTAGAATCATCAGAGCTAACTCTCTTGTTTGACAGAAGAAACTGAGGCTCTGAGAGGTCTCATCCAAGATGATGACACTTGTTATAGGGTGACGCTGCTAATGCATGCTAGTCCTGAGTTCCCTCAAGACATCTGTCTACTGCCTCCCTCCCCTCATCAGTGGGTAGAAACTTACTAAGCACCACTGAGCAAAAAACTCAATTTTATTTCCTGATCATCTTTAACAGGAACTGTTTCCAGCTCCCTCTTTATTCTGAGAGTTAAATTTCTGTTCACAGTAAAAATAATTATTTCAGGGGTGCCTGGCTGGCTCAGTCGGTAGAGCATGCAACTCTGGATCTCAGGGTTGTGAGTACCTGCCCCACGTTGGGTGTAGAGTCTACTTAAAAAAAAATAATTACTTCAAATAGGCTAAAATATGTATGTAAAGTTTTCTGACAAAAGAATGTGAGTTTATGTAAACATAAAATATTATATGTCTAAAAGCTTAAGAAATAAGCATCAAAGAGCAGGTTTTAATCAAACCGAAGCATCTTTTTAAACGTACACTTGCAATGCAACACCATCCTCTATCAGCTGGGGCAGAGCTGCAAACACAGGACAAAGGTCACCGAAATGAAGTGGAACCAGTTGGACAGAGAGCCTGCAATCTGGTTTCAAGTGTTTGATTAATATCAGAAGAAACAAATTTGTTACACTAAGGAAGAGGGTTCTGGAATCTTTGTGATTCATGAGTATATGCCCCTCTTTTCAGAGATAAGTGAATGTGTGAACTCTCTGTGGCATTAATGTGGATTGCGATAAGGAAATTGAACATCAATACATCAGAGAATCCTCTTCCTCAAAGATGGGGAAAACAGACAGCAAGTTGATTTATTTGCGGGAAGCTAAGGTGAATCATATTAGCAGATACTTTCAAATGATCAAGAATTCAAACATGTAATCATAAGCGGTGCCTGTGAAGCCACACACTTAGATGGAGAGGGGAGACACACTGTCAAATCAAGAGAGAGGATCTCTTTTTTGCCCCCAATTTCTTAAGCTATTGAAGAACTTTTACTTTCTTTTATATATTTTCCCCCAACCCAAGTAGGATTTAATAGATATTTAGATATACAAGAATCTCTCCTCTTTCATCCTGTGCGTACATATAAACACACACACGTGAAATGGTATGAATTAATCAAACAGAAAAAAAGACCAGTAAGAAAGTTCTACGTGGGGCGCCTGGGTGGCTCAGTTGGTTAAGCGACTGCCTTCGGCTCAGGTCATGATCCTGGAGTCTCTGGATCGAGTCCCGCATCGGGCTCCCTGCTCAGCGGGGAGTCTGCTTCTCCCTCTGACCCTCCCCCCTCTCATGTGCTCTCTGTCTCTCTCATTCTCTCTGTCTCAAATAAATAAATAAAATCTTTAAAAAAAAAAAGAAAGTTCTACGTGGCAAGAAACTTTTTTTTTTTTTTAAAGATTTTATTTATTTATTTGAGAGAGAGAATGAGATAGAGAGAGCATGAGAGGGGGGAGGGGCAGAGGGAGAAGCAGACTCCCCGCTGAGCAGGGAGCCCGATGCGGGACTCGATCCCAGGACTCCGGGATCATGACCTGAGCCGAAGGCAGTCCCTTAACCAACTGAGCCACCCAGGCGCCCCGGCAAGAACCTTTTTGATGCTTTTTCAGAGTAGCCATTTATTTATTTATTTATTTATTTATTTAAAGATGTTATTTATTCCCAGGACCCCGGGATCATGACGGGGCATCCCTAAGTGGTAAAAGATTTACTTTAACCCTAAGAATAAAAGTAGGTAAATAATATGCTACTTTGGGATGCCTGGGTGGCTCAGTCGGTTAAGTGTCTGCCTTTGGCTCAGGTCATGATCCCGGGGTCCTGGGATCAAGTTCTGCATCACTTGCTCAGCAGGGAGCCTGCTTCTCCCTCTGCCTGCAGCTTCCCTTGCTTGTGCTCTCTCTCGCTCTCTGACAAATGAATAAATAACATCTTTAAAAAAATCTTTTACCACTTAGCATTCTGTGGATAATTGATGTTTCAGATCATTAAATAGTTCATTCTGATTTCACAGATCTCACAGAATACACAAACATAGGAGCTTTATTTACCACAACTATGGATTTGAATTCGGTAGTCCTGACAATTTGAGATTCTGTGATGGCATACCAGGAAATGAAGACAAAAACTATCTCATTTTAACCATTGAATTCAATCTCTTTTCTCACTTTTTTTTTTTAAAGACTTATTTATTTTAGAGAGAGAGAGTGCGTGAGTGGGGGGGGTGGGGCAGAGGGAGAGAGAATCTCAAACAGACTCCACACTGAGCGTGGAGCCCAACAGTGGGTTTGATCCTACAACCCTGAGATCATGACCCTGAGATCATGATCTGAGCTGAAACCAAGAGTTGGACACTTAACCCACCGTGCCACCCAGGCGCCCCTCTTTTCTCACTTTCAAACAAAACTGGTAAGGCAGCAAAAAGAACTGTTTCACTTTCTCACTGACCCCGCACCCAAAAGAAAGTGAAGAATATGTTTTGAATTGCCTGAAAACAAAAGGAAGAGAAATAAAGGCTGCACATTAGCACAAAGTGAAAATCTGTCTCAAAATCCATGAACATAAACTTTACAAGAATATTTAAGGAAACCAGTACCTTGCTCTTGTGGAAACTGTCACAGTTCATGTAGCGGCTGCATTTTCTATTGCCTACACTGAGTGAGAACATTGGTATTTTCCTGACTCACAAGGACAAGAGTGTGCTGCCTGCTGAATCACCCTCCTCACTTCCCAGGGTGCCTGAGTGTTCCAAGACACTAATGAAGGATTAAATTGTGGTTGCCATGACAGTTACCTAAATGCTGTCATGATAATATCAACAGATGTAGTGCAGTGTTCCCTGAAAGTTGAATATTTTCCCCTTCCAAAACTTCAATAATTTTAATCATTGAAGTTCTTTAATAACTATGCAGAGTTGATCTAAAGAATTAGTAAAATCCTTTTTTTTTTTAAAGATTTTATTTATTTATTTGTCAGAGAGAGAGAAAGGGAGAGAGAGAGAGTGTACAAGCAGGGGGAGTGGCAAGCAGAAGGAGAAGCAGGCTCCCCACCGAGCAAGGAGACTGATGCGGACCTCCATCCCAGGATCTTGGGATCATGACCTGAGCCAAAGGCAGACGCCCAGTCTACTGAGCCACCCAGGCATCCCAGTAAAATCTTTTTCTTATCTAGATAGGTTGCTATATTAAGATACAACTCATCTCTTTACTTAAAATATATTTCTCCTGGGGCGCCTGTGTGGCTCAATTGGTTAAGCGTCTGACTCTTGGTTTCTGCTCAGGTCACCATCTCAGGGTTGTGGGACCAAGCCCTCCTTGGGGCTCCTCGCTCAACGGGGAGTGTGCTTGAGATTCTCTCCCTCTTACCCTCCCCCCACTCATGCTTGTGTGCTCTCTCTCTCTCTCAAATAAATAAATCTTTAAAAATAAAATGTATTTCTCCTAGTGAATGGTGATTGACAAATGATGCTGCCTATTGTATTCTTAGAAATTGAAATGAATATCACAAAGTAGAAATAAAAAAGTTTTATCAATTTTCTTAAAGTCTAGGAACTCAAATTTACGAAAACAAATCGGAATACCTTAAGCATTAGCCAGCATCTTGTGGTAACGGGCTGTTTTTTATGTGTGTCAGTGTTTTATGTAAACCATATCATGTAAGAACCTGCCTGTGGAGGGTTTGTATTTGGTAGGCAGATGTTCTGTCCCTCCTTCCCTCCATTCCAATGATTAAACCATCAAGAACAGAGAAGTAGGAGTGGAGGTTCCTATTTTTATTTTAAAGATCTTACTTTTTGGGAGGTTTACAATATCTTTTAGGATTACCATGAAGCCCCAATTACTGGGAGGACTTAGAGTCATTAAAATGAACATCAGAAAAAATTCAATGACCCTGAGGGTTCTTGAAATGCCTTTACTAAATGTTTCAAAACTGGGCTTGAGTATTTGCTGCTTTTGGTAGAGTGTTTTTCTCCTTTCATTTCATCTGCCCTCAGGGTGTTGGTTATTATTATTATTATTTTCTTTTTTTTGCCAAGGTGTCCCTTGGAATCCTTTCAATTTCAGTGGCACAAAAAATTATCAAAAGTATCAAAGGCTAAACCACTCCTGATTAGGAACACGGTCAATCAAATGTGTCAGGCAGGGACGTATCAGGAAAAGGTGCACTTAAATGAATGTAGTGGAAGCAAATTTAATGATGGGACTATTCACAGAGGTGTGGGTAGGGTTAAAGGAGCCAACAAGAGGGTGGGGAGGCACTCAGAGAATAGTATAGCCAGGAGTCATTCCCACCATCCTGACCTCTAGGTGTGACAGGAAAGACCAGTCAATGTTCCCAGACCTGGAGAGAGCAGAAACCATGAGAGAAGAGCTGCCTAAAGGGAGCCGCATTCGTGGAGGTGAGCAGCTACCTTACTCCCAGAACTTGGGCAAGACAGGGAATGGGGGCGTGGGATAAACACCAGACCGTCCTCTCTTTCCACTTCTATCTTTTGTCAGTGCTTCCCAACCCAACCAACAGGGCAAGGGAGCCTGGTTTGGATACAATTCCAAGGGATTGGTCTCCAGGGCATAAAGCAGGGCAGAGAAGGGTGGAGAATGAATCTGGGGATAGTGGTTAAGCTATCTGATTTATAGCTGATCTGACTTAGAGTTGTGTAGTCATAGCATCACATTTGGATTGATTCTGGAAAATGATAAGTTTATACTTTATGTAGCAATAGAGACGACAACATGCATTTTAGTGTTCTAATATTTTTAACATAATTCTGGCCACACAAAAGCAAATGTTTCTTCCTAAGTGTGGAACAGAGAAAATTCTCCAGGATTAACTCCTCAAACCAATATTATACACAATTATAAGAATGAATTGGTAGTACGTACACTGCAAGCAATGCAAATTTCACATGCTCACCTGAAAGTAGCGTAGGCCCCTGCTACTATGGAGGTGGAGGGGTCATCCAGCATCTTTAGGAAAATAGGATTATGATGGCTGGTTCCATCTTGCACATATCTTTAGGAAATCTCACAAACTCAATTTGTGTTTGATCTTAGGGCTGCTATCAGTTTTATCTGAAAATAGAAGAAACATTATTCTTGCTCCGCTCCCAGAATTTCCCTGGTAGGGTTAACCTCCAACTGCCCATCACAGGCATCCTTTACTAATTGCCCTCTTCCCTATCTCCTTCCTTCACTCTCATGTTTCCTCTATCATCTCCCAAATAAACTTTCTGCACTTTAATCCTTGCCTCAAGGTCAGCTTCCGGAGGAACCCAAACTAAGAAAGAAGTATATTGTCTTTTCTAAAAGATTTTATTTATTTATTTATTTATTTATTTAATTTAT